TGTACCGAACCTAAAATGGTTCAGAGAATTGCAACGAATTCGAAACCTTTTTAGGTTCCGTACGATGTACGAAACCCTTTTTTCGTTCAAAGTACCTTTTTTGGTTCGGTATGGTACCATTTTTTTTTTCAGTGTAGGTGTGGGGATGGAGGGGTGAGTTTGAATAGGGGTGTGCAGCTATAGCTGTATGTGGGTAAGAAGGTAGATGTGGAGTGTGGGTTAGGGTGAGAATGTTGGTGAATGTGAGTGGGAGTTCAGTTGATGATTAACACAAACACTCATGCCCACAAACAGCCACATATACACCTTAGTTGCATACTCAACTTTCTGGTGCTCAACGTTCCCGTGTTTAACGTTCCTCGTGTTTATCTTTCCAGTGCTGATCTTTTTCGTGTTTAACATTCTTGTGCTTAAGTTTTCGTGCTTATCGTTCCTCGTGCTCATCGTTCACCAATCCGTTGTACAGAACTTCAAGTAAAATCAAAACTGATATCACTTGTGTGAAGCTAAAAATTTCCTTTTTTATTTACAGTTTTCATAACTAAGCTACGGTTTCAAAAAGAATCAGAAGAAGGATATGGCTGTGGCTGTGGGTGATAGTAAAAGAGAGGGAATAAATCTGCTCTTTATCCATCCACACCTATCCATCTTCACATCTGTGCCTTCCTTTTTCAGATTGTTGATAACAGTCGAAGATTCGATACAATCTCTACTTCAGTTAGCAGACTGATTCAGGTTTAACTCAAATCTTCTTAAAAAAACATATTCGCAGAAATATGCATTTATCCACAAGAAAACTCGCACTTCATACGAAGCTTAACTGTTTTTTGAATGTTCTGAGACAAATGATTAGAAATTTGATGGCTCGTGATCATAAAGGTTTATGCTTATTCTGTTGCACCGTATATACTGAAGAACCTTAGCCGTTCAACAAACAACACAGGTCAAGAAAACTTGACTTGGCGTGTCGGCGCGCGGTGTGCAGCGTTCTCTTCATTGATATCAACACTCATACTCTACCAGTTGCTTTTTAGCATAAAAGAATCTATTTGCAAGCAACCATATAAACTGGAGTGTGGATATCCATAAAGACCTGCTCTCTCTTGCACGTTCACATTCACATCCTCAGAATTAACAATAATCGACTGAAAGCTTGTGGTACAAGTAATGGACGAATGAGAATCGACTATTGTTCTCATAGATTCATTTGTAGAAGCATCAAATATTTACCAAACAATGTTCAAGCACGTGAAATATCGGCTGGAACAGATCCTTCTTTTTGAATTAAAAACGACTTGTGTACATATAGAATCAGAAAAATAGACCAGGTTACTCAAATGGATGTTAGTGAAGGAATCGAATATCCAACTACACTCATATACTAGTTGAGAATTTACTCATGCTAATAGATAGAGACTCAAGCTCATCATTCCATGGAACCGAGTGGAGAGATCATTCAGAATTCAGTACCATTCGTCTCGCATTATTTATAAAAGCGTTGTACTAAAATGTTGATTAGGCACATAACGGTAGGAATCGATAGAAGATACGAAGAATAAATTTATTATGATAAGTGTGATAGTCTTAATTAAACATGATGAGTAACTCCATAGCTCATGTTAGTAGTCTTTAGTGTTGACACATCTATACAGAAGTATCTTTAGTTCCTTTAGCGACATTCAGTTGTTTTTGTACCATGGGAATATTTTTAACGCCTTCAATCTGATCGTTAATAATCATCAAATTGTTGTCTTCCCGTCTTTGTAACTTGACTGTTATGATTTGGTTATAATCAGCTCTGAGCTCTAGAAGTGTCTTGAGTAACTGTGAATTGAAATTGTGATAAAGTTTAGTGTCACAAATATAATTTTCCTCATCAATCATTCGATTGAGACTGGCCAAGAATGGATCATCGCTCGAATGCTGAAAATTACACATAAGGAAGTAAGCGAAGTGCACGGTGGCTGAAAAAAGTTCCGCAAACCAACTATCCAAGTCGCGCATTTGATAGCTCACTTTATCGACTAATTCATAATCAAGTTGATAATCGACCGAAACATGTTGCCCTGAATCACATGAACAATATTCACACCGATTTCGATACTCGTGCAAAGAGTCATGAGTGATCCAAAAACTATTATATGGCTGAATTGAACGCTGGCACAAGTAGCATATAGCTGAAGGTCGTTGAATAGGTTTCGGATGTAATTCGATCCATTTTGACGAGAATCCATATCTGTGTAAAATTTGATTTCGAAAAATATTTCGCATTGATTCCATTATTGGGCGAATCATCTGCAGAATTTCTAGTCGAGCATATTCTACTCCTTGTAGTCCTTGATATAGGAGATATGCGCTATTGCTTTCGCGAACATTATACATCAGCTGGTCTACTGCTTTCTTTGAAATTGACCAACTCTCTTGACATTGCGGCTCACGAGGAGTGAACCATCGTGCTCGAGCCAAATGAACAAAGTAAGCACTATCAAATAAAAGTATGCGCTCAGATTTCCTAGGAATTTCCCCAAACTGGAGTGACTGGAGCAATGATTGAACACGACCTTTTCTTTCATTATCATTGTTATGGGAGGATAGACATTTGGTGAAGCAAAAGAAAAGTTTGTCATGTGCTTCCTTTCCAAGAAAATTGAGCAACTGCATCAAAGGCTCCCGATAGGGAGTGAGTTCAGAGTCGCCCGACTCTATCACAACACAGATGGCATTCAAATGAGTTAGCTCCGAAATGTATGATAGTATGTGCTGCATTGCCACGTCGTTTTGACCCTGACCGAATGCATTAGAAAAGCCAGGAGTATCAATAATACGTAGCTGTTGTCTATTTCCAGCATCAAATATGTGCGATTTACAACGCTGAGTTGTAGAATAACCAGTATGATTATAATCTTCGTTGGGATCATGATTGCCAAGTTGAATGAAATGTGGTTCCACATCAATCGTTAACGGAAACATAAATGAGACATACACACGCGGAAAAGATATCCTCGAACGAATATCTGAGAAAGTTTCGAATTGTAGACAGTTGGCAATTGTGTTTATCATTGTCGATTTGCCGGCTCCTGATTTACCGACGAGAATCACATTAATCATTTTATCGATAGAAGGTACAACTAGACGAGAGTCGGGTTTTTTCGTTGTCCGCATAAGAGATTCGCGCACACCATCAGCTGGAATATAGTTCGTTGTGGGAAACGTTTTTATCATGTCTAACTCGTATGAACAGTAAGAGAAATCAACATAAACTAGATTCAACTCAGGTTTTTCTGCACGTTCATTAGCCATTCGTGTTAATATATCTTGCAAGTGTGACCAAGACGCTGCGTTTAAACTGTCGTTGGAGCAAAGAGCGCGTTGTCGCCGTTTATCTTTAATGAACTTTCGTTGGATCTTATCTTCATTGTGACCTTGTTTGATACCATATTTGTCGGCAGTCTGGTAATCAAATCCTTGCTTTTTCAAATCTTTAATAAAGTCCTCTTTTTCTTCTAAAGTTCTAAGATCATGCTTAAGATCGTCGATAGTGCGCTTCAACTTCTCTTCTTCATCGAGTCGCAAATAGCGCTCAATAGTCTCCTGCGGCTTTTTGCCTTGACGAATGTATGAAATTAAGGTGCCACCCTGTTTCTTTTCTTCATTATATTGATCTGTTAATTTGTAGACTTTTACGCGAACCTCATCGAATTGTTTCTTGAGATCAGTTTGCCAAACATCGGACGTGATATTTTTTCGAAATGTTTCCCATAACTTGCTGACAGAGGAGAGTCGAAGCCAATGGTCTTCAATCATTGTTGCAATTTTCGGTTCGATTGGAAAAAATGCGATGTTCTGTTGATTTTGATCAGAATGAAGACTGTTGATTGGATGAAGAATATAGTTGCAAGGTTGTTGATCAGCAAGATTATTTTTGATATTGAGAATAGCTTGGCACACATTGAGTAATGTTGATTGACCTGTTAAATCCGATCTGTTCGAATAGATATATGTGGAAAGAATTCGATTAAGCGCATGTTCATTATTCATTGGTTTCGTGTCACGTTTCATGCATTCACATACTTCACGAAGACTGTTGTCGATCACTCCCGCATCATCAGGCGGCAATCTAAGTAGAACAACAACATCGATACCACAATCTACTGCCGTAATTACATGAGTGGCAGAAGCCGTGCCTATTTGTGGTTGAATGCTGTTCACGTCAAGTAATGCTTGATTTCGAACAAGATATGAATAATAGAAGATGCGAGTATATTCATCAATTACAAATGGGTAATTGACAACTGAAGCAATACCAGTTGGTTCAACCAAGTTCGATAACACACTCAATCGAAGATCAGCAGGAAAATCGATGAGTCGAAGGAGATTTCGATTTTCATGCTTATCACCACTTTTTATCTCACATTTTATTGGTGGATACGAGTATTCATTTTTTTTAATATTGAAATAGAGTGTTTTCGATGCTAAAACCCGATCGTGCCACCCATCATAACAATGTCCTATACGACCTTCAGGAGTGATTGCCTTGCGTACAAGGGTATTCAACGTGAAGTCATCGACCAGTGAGCGCTTTCGGTTTAAGTGCGATTCTGGCGATGGAATGATTGAGATAATCGATTTCAAAATGAGTAAACCACAAAGAGTAGCATTTATTAATTCTCTCGTGTCTGGAGCAGCTTGATTTTTAAACCATTGTTCTCCTTCGAAAGCAATCCAGCTGCTTACACATTGAATGAATTCTTTGGCATAGATGGATTCCAGCCATTTTTTTGGTAACTTGTTGTAGCCATAATAAGCACCAGCCAATTGACCATAGATAGCTGCTGTTGTATCTGTATCATCTCCTAGATTAACAGCGTTGAGTGCACCTGTCTCGAATGAGTCTCCATCACTCCAAAAGGCCCACAAAGCAGCTTCCAGAGCATTAACAATGTATCCTTTACCTCGAATTCCATCTTGATATCCACCTTTTTTTTTGTAGGATCCTTGAGCTATCGTCATGATTTCAGGATGAAGGGTTTTATCACCAAACCACTCCTGATGTTCATCATAGAATGTGTTACTAGTCAGTTTGCTTTTATCTTCACCTTGAACAGCAGCTACAATTAGAGCTCCATAATAACGGCATGCATCATAAGCTTTCTCATCTCCATGAGTAATTTGACCACTAATGCCCGAATAATCAACGGCAACTTTCGGATGTCGATAGAAAAAGAGTGGTACAGGTGCGAGACGCATCAGGGCTCCATTTCCAGCTACACCTTCTTTGCTACAATGCACATCGAATGCTTGCAAAAGATCACGGTCAGATAGAGAGTCTATTTGATCTAAAAGAATGTCATGATCATGTGCAAACTTTCTTTGACGCTTTTCAAATTCTTGGATAGCTTCTCGGGTAGCTGCTCCAATATCGAAACAATGACCGGTCGATGACATATAGCCCTGTCGATACCACCACTTATACCGAACTAGTTGATCGTATGGAACAAAATCTCGACAAGCAATCAGCGAATTAGCCAAACAAAGCGCCATAGAAGTGTCGTCGGTGAACTAGAAAAATGAACTGGTATCCATCTCATATAAATAGATTTGTTACCTGTCCTCTTTGTAGACCCCATGTTCCTCCTCCTACTAGGTCTTTCACTGGATTAGCAATTAAATAACTGTTAGGTCTGAATTCAACATGAGCACCAAGAGCATCACCCACTGTCAAACCAAACATCGAACCTTGAATACGATCTACTACATCAGCACTGATTTCTCTCAACGGTGCAAAATCTTTTGAAGTGATTCCAAACTCATCAGGTTTCTTAATAGATGTTTGATCGACATCATGGAATTGGCACTTGAGCCAAGGTTTGTCTAATATAAAAAAGAAAACGTGTGTATGATGCTAAAGAAACAAAACTCATTGAATGAGATTTTTTTGATTCAATGTATCAAATTCAAGAAGACTTTTGTGATAGTGCATATAAGCTTAATAATGCTTACTTGTATCGTCTTGTGTGAAAGACATGATGGATTCGATTTGTTTCTCTGAAAATACATGAAGAAATGCAGTCTACGATAGAAATGCTATTCAACATCAGAAGACAATCGTATCACTTCATTGCAACAAAATAGAAGAATTAACGGTGCATGCGAACAGTTACTTAATCTTGTGGAAAGTTTATTAATGAGCTGTAGGGCATAGGACCAATACGGAAAGAAATAGTGATCTTTCCCGATTAGTATATATTCATCAGTTCTATTTGCCCCTTTAACTGATACGAATCGATGAATTGTAAAAGATTTTACTCGAATGCATTATTCGATGTCATTACTGGTTATTTATTGTCTTCAGACAATTCAATTTATGGTTGCTCGTTACACTATAACGTATCACAAACTTCACAATTCGTAATACTGATCACATAGATATGAATTGAAGTGTTACAGCATCGACATGATACATTGGAGACATGTTATCTATCGTTGTTGTCAGTTTTATCAAGATTAGTATTGAATCAAAAGAAAAGTTTCAGTTCCAAAACTTAACATTATGGTAATGCTAAGGTCTATTTAAAAAAAATACTCAGTCAACGTTTCCTCTCCAGTCAGTAGACACGATTGAAGCTGCTAACCAAACGACCATACGCAACATATTGATAATGATAATAATCTCAGGTCGAAAACCTACGATCGCTTACAGCTGCCGCAATTATCAGTTATCAACGACGGTCGTATATGATCGTAGTTCGGTCGTTGGCTTCTACACAAGAACGTGAAATTATCATAGACATACGCTACAGAGAATTTCATTGTGACCTATGATTTCTCTTTATCGCTGTACAGGACGGAATATCATCGAACATGTGGTCTCTTCGCGTATCGCTAATGTTAAATGGTAAAATATTTGAAATATAAGCATAATTTAATGCGAAAGCTTTCAACCTTGCACATTTATTATATATACAATGTCGATATTTATTAAAGAAAGGTTAATCATGCTATATAGTCAAGTTTGCTTCTCATCAGATATATAATCCTCAGAGCGAAAATCGCTTGCATTTTATTTTTTTCTACCTGCTCATGTCTATCACTTAAATTGAAACCACCTATTAGAAATAAAAGTTTAATTTTTAATTTTTCACAAAGTACTATAATTTAGCGGATAGGTTACATTTCATATACTGAATACATTTTCGCTTCTATACGGATAATTCTATTAAAACATATATAGATGAGATCGAACGGACATTCGGAAGACTTTCTTCTTTAGAAATGTTTCTATTGAAAAATTACCTCCAATACATCAATTAATATTCAAAAACTCACTTTCTCTTCTATAGCAAAGTTCCAATGGACCAATATATTGATAAGTTAAAATATTTTTTTTACAAATGATTATTTTTGATTTAGATATATTTCGATGAAAAAATTCTGGTAAGCGAAAATCAACTGTTTTTTGCAATTTTTTTTTCTAACATATTTTTCAATGAAGCACTCTTTAGGTAAGTTGAAATAAATTTTGAGAGTTTATATTCTTTACTTTAGAAATAATCCAATGAAACAATATGTCGCCAAGTTAGAAAAATTTTGTACAAATAATTATTTTTCTTTAGACATATTTCAATAAACAATATTTGGGTAAGTCAAAATAAACTTTTTAGAACTATTCATTTTTGTTTAGATATTTTCAATGAAACACTACGTAGGTAAGTTGAAGTAATTTTTTAGAAATAATTCTCTTTTGTTTAGCTGTAATCTAAGGAAATAATATGTTGATGAATTAAAATAATTTTTTACGAATAATTTGTTTTTGTTTATATATATGTCAACGAACAAAATTTTAGTATGTTGAAATAAACTTTATACAAATATTTTTTCTAATTTAGATATTTTTCAATAGAACCTTATTTAAATAAGTTGAAACAAATTTTTAGAATTATATTTTTCTGTTTAGGAAGATTTCTATCGAAGAATTTATGGTAAACTGACAGGAAATTTTAGAAGAAGTCTTTTTACATGTATTATTATTGATTAATTTCGCATTATGAGAAAATGAAATTGAACACAAAGTTTTTTGCCTTGTTTATATGTTCGTCGAAAGCTTTACTAGTATGATGAAAGCGTTCGATTAAAATATATCCACAGGAAAAAATTTCGTCTTCGAATTGATTCGACCGTACCATGAAACCAATCAATAGTAATATATATATAAAGATTTTTTTCTCAAAATTCATTTGCATGTACCATTAAATCGTTGAAGAAAAAAATCCGGTTAATTAGTAGTTTTCATCATACGAATGACGTCGCAGTGTGGTAAATAATAAGAGAAATAACGTCCTTTATGATCGTAAATTGTCGTTTACGATAGTCGTAACGCTCAACCTAGGATGAGGAAAATACATTGTTTCCATCAATAATACAAAATATCTGCTCTACATTCGTCTCGTTATGATGGCAACCTTTATCAATAAAATTTACTCTTTTCCACAACACTCATTGTTGGACCCCATTTTGCTCCTTTATACATTGCACATTGGGTGACTATTTCGTCTACAGTTATTGTTATTTATTACTTACCTCTATCAGTAAGAAAAATGAAATGAAGAAAAATGCAAGCATATTGCTTTTTGTTTTGTTGATGATACTTTTTACACATGTTATTGATATTTTTCGGTCGACTGACTCTACCTTGCAGTTATTGCTAGTGTATAATTTGTTTTCATCTTTTTCCTTTCTCTCCTTCCTAGTTTCTTTTTTTACTAGTCCGCATATTATCAGCAAGAGCAGCATATGATTAGAGAAAAATTTCAGACAAAACACAAATGATAGACCGAACTTGCAAAAAAGTAATAAATGACAAGGTGAAATAACTTAAAACTGTGTTTCATGGACGAATACGAAAATGATTTCGTTCTGGTATGATGCACAACGACAGTTGAGTGAGTTTTCAATGTTTATTTCTCAGTGTTCTGCATATTGCTACTACAACATTATCAAATTTTCTCGCAATTCATTCATTAAGTTATAAATTTTCAATACCGTATGATAATTGAATTGATAATTCAGCACCATGAAAAAGAAAATCTTTTTGTATTTTCGCCAGACAAAAGTCATTATTGCGTTTATTATGGTGCTACTATCGAAGTAATGTAAGTGACGTCTCTTTTATGCTCGTGCAATTGGTTTTATTGGCCTTTTTCAGATTGACTCGTGGCTCTATGATAAAGCTAATAGAACGGAAGAAAGTCATTTATATCAGTTTAACAGTGCCACCACAATCAATATAAAATGACTTTCGTTCTTCTATTAATGCTATAAAACTAACCCATCTAACTGTGGACGTTGGAAATTTACATTTGATCAACAATCTCCAAGTAAATATCATAACTTCGTACTATAGACAATTCGGAAAGCAGAAGTTCAAGTATTACTTATTCGACTTTCTCATTAGCAAGCTAAATTACTTCATGTTATAGACTACAACATTTGTGATCGTTTTGCATAACGAATCGTAGTTTTTGTCATTCAGCGATTTTAAAGCGAGACATTGACTGAAATTTTTCCTTATATCGAGGTAGTTTACTTGCTATCGCTTATTATACTGTTTTTTTTCCGAATCATATATAACGTCGTTGTCTTAAAACATTTTTACTTTCAATTTAAATAAATTTATTCCTTTACAACTTGAAAACACTTTTAGAAATTATAGAATTCGTAGAGGTTTAGAATCGCATCGACTCATGATTCATTTTAAGCATCATGAACAACTTTGTTACCTTGTTTGAAAATAAATAAAAGCAGAAATGTTACTGTGATAGAGTGAAGGAACGAATGCTGATATATGTTGATGCTGTGATTGATGACACGATCAGAATAGTAATGGCAGTGGTAATCGAATTTCAGAAGAAATCCACATCATGTAGCTGGAGGAGAGATGAATTTATTCACAGCGACTTGATAATCTGATGTATCGCTATTATTAATAAGTGAAAAATGGCGATTTACTTACTTGGCACGAACCACAACGATGATGAAGAACATTTTTCCAGAATCACACATTATGGCAAGTAACCTTACTTTAATTGGTGCAACAGACATACAAAGCAGATGTGTTCAAAAATATCTGCATTTTTGGAGAAAATTTTAGTTGGTAAAATGAAGAAGAAGATGATCAATGTAAAGAAGATATAATAGAATTCGAATATGAACGAATCGTTGAATCTCAAAGAGAAATCAAAGGCATTGTGGATAGTTTTCTTGCTGATATAGAAGTCCATAAAGCATCAAGTTCTATTGATTTCTCAGTCAAACAATGTTAATTGCTATACGACAGCCTAAGATCTGACAAATAATTGTCGTTTGATGAAGAAAACAATTCCTGCACATATTATCAAACAGTACAAATCGTTCATCACGCTGACTGTGTGAGATATTAAGGCTAATAA